CAAAATTTTAACTTCAAGTTCTAACATTTCAAAAATTAGGACTTCACTATATCATTTCCCCTCAAAATTATTTTCTGTCACAGGGTTAGGGCACAGGCTAGCATGAAGGAGCCCCGGATCTGCACTGGTACCTCAATCCCTTTTGCTACCATTACTCCCAACACCAGCAAGTACCTGAGCACAGCCAAGTAGTTTGGGCCCTAAAACCAAAATCAACTTAAAACTAAACAGTGAACAAAAAAATGATCTTTCCAATCAACAGAAACTGCAACTTTACCTCAAAAATTTTAAGTTAAGTTTAGACTATACTTGTAAGTAGACAATACCTCAAAATCAAGATAAAAAAAAAAGTTAAGCTATAGTATAGGGAAACCCTAGCTGAAGTTTGGGAGGCAAGGGGGGAAATAAAAACTTAAGCTTAGATGATATAAACATCTACTCAAGTTTTGGAAGCAAATAAAATTTATTAGGAAAAAATAAAGCAAAATAAAAACATTCACTCAATTGCAAAGATACGTTTGTAAGAAAATGAAGTAAAATATATTAAATCAAATGCCGATAGCAAATATAAAACCATAACCTTCAACAAATTCTAACATTTTATATCTTCTACCTTCTCTGAATAACTAAAACTGATGACATTTATCTTCTCCACATAGCCAGCAAAATTATGAGCTATTAACTTTTTTTCTACCTCAAGCAATGAAGGAAGGGAAATTACTTTCTACAGATCAGAAAGGGGAAAAGAATCACTTCCATTCACCTTAGAAAACAAAGTAGGGAAAGAGTGAAAGAAACATAAACAAAATAGTTAAGAATAAAAACCAGTAAGAAAATCCAAAGCTACTAATGTTGAAGAGCTGGAGAGATAGCATAATGGGTAGGGCGTTTGCCTTGTACATGTCTGACCTGAGTTCGATTCCTCTGTCCCTCTCAGAGAGTCCGGCAAGCTAAAGTATCCTGCCTGCATGGCAGAGCCTGGCAACCTACCCCTGACCTATTTGATATGCCAAAAACAGTAACAAGTTTCACAATGGAGATGTTACTGGTGCCCGCTCAAGCAAATTGATGAACAGTGGGAGGACAGTGCTACACTGCTAACGGATGTTAAAACATAAAGTCTATTCTGTGATAATGGTTTCCTGAATAAAATTAGTGTTACTTTGTGTATTGTTATTTTCCGCCTGTTCATTTCTTTGGATACTGGGTAAATTGTCCCACCTTTGTCCATTCCCTTTTATGAATCCAGATTTCAGAATCTCCAGCTCTATATTTTTTCATTTAGTACTGAGTTCCTCTGACTTAACTGCATTACTGCAGGAATGATTTTGTTTGTGTGGGAGCCACTGGCAGTGCTCAGGGATTACTCTCAGAGTTTATTCTGGCTCTGTGTTCAGGAATTACTGCTGGCAGGGTTTGGGACCACATAGGGAGCCGGAGATAGAATCCAGGTCAGCCATGTGCATGGCTTGCTTACTCACTGCACTATCTCTCCAGTTCTTAAAAATGATTAGTAAGGTTCAATATCAAGGACTGAAAGACCTATTAAGTTTACTTTTATTTTTTTTTAAGGTTAAGTCGATGATATCTTATTTTTTCTTAAAAAGTAGCCCAGGGCTTGGGGGGGAGGGGCTGGAGCCATAGCACAGCAGGTAGGGTGCTTGCCTTGCACGTGGCTGACCAGGTTCAATTTCCAGCATCCCAAATGGTCGCCCAAGCACCACCAGGAGTAATTCGTGAGTGCATGAGCCAGGAGTAACCCCTCTGCAACGCTGGGTGTTACCCAAGAAGAAAAAAAAAAAAGTAGCCCTAGGTCTAATCCCTTGCACCACAAAAAGAAAGAAAAAGAAAATGAAAAATAAAAAGGAAGTTGGGGGGAGGGGGGACCCACACGACTGACTGACAATAGAAAGCTGGATTGCAATGCAGGTGTGAGGTCCTGAGTCTGATTCCCATCACCACATGGTCCCCTAAGCACCGACCTGAAAGTAGTACCCCAGCACCCTGGTTAGGCCCAAAATAACTACACCATGAGTTTCTTGTCCCCAGGAGCTTCACTGTCCAATGCCCTCCCAATGTTCATCGATTTGCCATTGTTCATCGATTTGTTCGAGTGGGCACCAGTAAAGTCTCCATTGTGAGACTTGCTGTTACTGTTTTTGGCATATCGAATATGCCACAGGTAGCTTGCCAGGCTCTGCCACGCAGGCAGGATACTCTCGGTAGTTGCCGGGATCTCTGAGAGGGACAGAGGAATCGAACCTGGGTCAGCAGCGTGCAAGGCAAATGCCCCACCCACTGTGCTATTGCTCCAGGTGCTTCACACATAACAATAATGCTCGAATAACTCAATTCAGAATAGACTGAACTATTTTCTAGAATTCAGGGAAAGAAGAGGAAAAATAACTTTCCAACTAAAGATAACTAGGTATTTGGAGTGGTGGTGCCATGTGGCTGGAAACAGCAGGCCAAAATGTCCTCAGAATAAACAGTGAAAGGTAATTAGTTTTGTCTGAATTTCTGCCCACATAGGGAAAAGGAAAAGGACATTAATAAAAACAGAAAGAAAAAATTACTAGGCAACATTTACCTTGAACTTAAAGCTTCCCATATAGGGCATTCCCATTAAGTCTTATTTTACTCTCACATTTAAATATAAGCATGCATTGTAATCACTTTACCTATGAAATCACTATGTAAGAAACACAGACTGCAAAAGTGGTTTTAAGATCATGTAAGAAAACTCTGAGAGCAAGGCTTCTTGTTCTGGATTTCATTCTGCAAATGAGAATATGAAAGCATCTGAAAGGGAGCATGTGGGGCTGTGGGTGGAAAGGAGGGAAAGAAATGAAAGAAAGCCTCAAGAAAAGGGGCTTAGCAACAAAACGGTTCAGCAGACTTGCAAAATTGACATGAGAATTGTCAGTAGTTACTTGCAAGCCTGGTACAAGGCAGAAGGAAGGATTAACTCTGTCTCAAGGTTTAAAACTCAATAACCAGGAAAAATAAATAGAAATGTGGGGTGGGGAGAACAGCACTAAGCGATGATCAATCTGGCTTAAGGAATTACCAGCCCTAGCTGAAAATGTGTGCGTAATACACATTTAAGATATTCTCATGCCAGATATTGTTTCCAGGCACTTAGGATACAGCACTGAATACAACTAGTAAGTATTGCTGCCCTATGAATCTCACCCTCTATTATGGACCATAGATAGTGATAAGTAAATAAAGAAATACGGAAGAGTGGGGTTGTATGGAATTTTAATTAGAAGGTACTGAGTAAGATGAAAATATCTGAATAAATACCTAGAGGGGAGGGAGGGAGCTACACACAGAGCCAATATTCAGTAAGAGGAGTCAGCAACTAACAGTATCTGCAAATAATTTCAGTCTAGGATGCTTTTGAAGTTAGCATCAATTGCTGCATATCTCTTTGGTGACCTGGTCCTATTTCCGTAGACTAGCATTCAGCATTCCACTTCCTAACAACATCCTACCCAATCAAGAAAACTTGACCAATAACAGTGATAATAAACTGCCTAGTAAGTCAATTTGTTTATACTGGCTATTTATGTGCCCTACATGGGAGAAAGGATTGCATTTTAAAACAACAAAACCAAAGCACTGTTAGAACATGTTTGTACAAAGCTTAAAAAGACAATCATCTTGTTCTCAAAGCAATCATTGATGTAGCAACTCTGAGACTTGTGATTTAAATCAAAGGTGCTGAAGAATGATTATGAATCATGCAATTAAGCTACCAAGCAGGATGTTGCTGAGAAGAAAAAAAAATTCACAGCTCCATAAAACTGTCAAAAATAAAAATAGTACTATTATAAAACGAAAAGCAATATCATCCTTTGATTTTATAATCTGTTGCTCAGCAGAACTGAAGTCTAAGTGCTGTCATTTATTGTTTTTGAGTCTTTCAGACTCGTTCTTAACTATAAACAGCAACTGGTTTGATATTTCAGATTCCTTTCAAGTGGCAAGTTATGGTTCCTATAACATTTATTTATGTGTGGCTTAGCTAGTTTTTGAAATGATACAAATAAGCACCACCCCAAAACAGGATAACCTGAAAGTTCTGTATAAAGTGATATGGGACCACAGAGACAGAAGAGCACGTGCTTTGCATGCTCCAGATTCCAGGGTTCAATACCTGGGCACCTCATGGTCTGCAGGAGTGCCTCATCACCACGAAATACAGTGATATGAACTTCTTTTACAAGTATTAAGCTTTAAAATGCCACACTCTAAAGTTATTTTTTATTTTGGGGGGGGAGGGAGAAAGAGAGGTGTTTTTCAAAACAAACTTCAAGACGCTGAGATTTCAGTGCCATTTGAGTGATCTGATTTGGAACAAGGTTACAAATCGTATTAAGATTAAACCTGCTAGAAAAAAAGCAGTGAAACCTTTTCTGGCAAAACGCACTCCTTGAAAACTGTTCCAGAGGTACTAAGAATTTCTAGCAAGAGTCCTACAAGAAAGGTTTTCCAGCGGTCCAACTCTGAAGTCTAATAAACAGGTCATTATTCAAATAATCAGCATTCAGCGTAATTTTTTTAAAAAGAAAAGTCAATGTTATTGTGCACGATAGGCCAATCACTTAAATATTGATAGATTTACAACAATGCTATGAAGATCAAATTATCATCACCTCCATTTTACAAAGGCAGAAAGTAGGGTATGGAGAAATCAACCAAGTTTAAAGTTAATAAATAAATAGATTCAAACCCAGGCACCGTGCCTTCAAAACCTCGGCGCTTCACCTTCACGACACACCGCCTGTGTAAACCCTGGTATCCTTGTCTAAATAGCAGAACCCCTGCCAGTCGTACCCTTGCTGAAAAACGAAATAACACGAAGCCAAAATAAAGCTGCACCGCAAGTGCACTATCGAGTTTCTCCTACAGTCATGAATCACCAACTAGAAACATTATTTTGAAGATTTTTTAAAAAATGTTTTTTTTTCCTTTTCTATGCTCTACAGTACCTGAGCTTCCCCGAGACTCGGGCAGCGTGCGTGGGGCAGCGCGAACGCTTCCCGTCTGGAAGCTGGAGGCGAGAACGAGCTGCCGCGCCGGAGACCGACCGCCTCGCTCGCTCCCTCCAGCGGGGCGTCCTCCCGCGCCCGGAGTGGCGCTACGGCCCGCCCGGCCGCCGCTCACCTGCCCGGCGCGCGCGCACACGCTCCGCCCGCCGGCTCCGCGCGGCGCCGGGACCCCTCCCGCACTCACCTCGGGGGAGCCGCGCCCGGCGCGTGGCGAGCGGGAATCGCCGCGGCCGCAGCTGCGCCACTCCCGGCCGGGCTCCGAGCCACGCCTCCCGCCCACGGCGGCGCCCGCGGCGCTCCAGCCGCGGCCTGACCGCCCGGCCCCGCTCCCACCACTCAGCGGCGCCGTCTCCGCCCCCGGCCCCGCCCACAGCCCGGCGGGGGGCGGGGGGAACTCCGCTCACGCCTCTCAGTCCCCCGCGCGGAATTGCGGCCGCGGGGGCGTCCCCAGAAGCCTAAATAAAGGTGCGGGTGCGTAACCCGAAGGGAGAACACTGGCCGACATGAGGGGCTTCAAGAGACGATCGCGGGAGAAGACGAAGAAGCTCGGGCAGGGGGAAAGGACGCGCTCTCCCCCGGTTCCAGCTAAGGTGACACCTCCTCCGAGTTCACTTTTCCACGGCGCTGGCGTAATCTTAGTCTCCCTCTGACAGGGTAGGGGTCACACGAGTTCAGCGATTCATGTGTTTGAGAAGTCGTAGGGAACTGAGGAGTAGAGAAAGGAAGTCAGAGTTCCCTTTACTGAGTTCCAGCACACATCCTCCTTCCTCAATTGAAAAATTACCGAAATGACTCCAAGCAAGAAGCCTCCTCATCCCAGACTTAACATTAACCACTCATGTCCTTGCCCCAGCGCCCAAACAGATCAGGCACTTTCCAAGAGAACAGATACCACTACACCAAAGTCGGGTTTGGCATTAAAACCTATAGTGACTACTAGAAGATTTGCAATTCATGTACAGATAAGCAAGAGCTATGATAGGGCCCTTTTAAAAATAAATAAGCGGAAATTATTTAAATTGTTGATTTATTTGATTATGGAAAGTAGAAACCGATTTGAGGAATCAAGTCCAAACCTAACAGGATTGTGGTTGGGAAACACAACATTCATTTTGTTAACAAGCAGAACAGAAGAACTAGCCTCCTGGTGTGCCGTTCAGGGAAGTCACAGTCTCTGCACTGCACTGTAGCACTATCCTCCCGTTGTTCATCGATTTGCTTGATTTGGCCCAGTAACGTCTCCATTGTGAGACTTGCTGTTACTGTGTTTGGCATATTGAATACATCACGGTTAGCTTGCCAGGCTTTGCCATGGGCGAGATACTCTCAGCAGCTTGCCAGGTTCTCCAAGAGTGGCGGAGGAATCGAACCCTGCTCGGCTGGGCTGGCTGTGCAAGGCAAGCGCCCTACCTCTGTGCTATTGCTCCAGACCCACAGTCTCTGATGCTCTCAATTTCCTTATCTCTAAAATTAACAGATGAGACCAGGTGACAACAACCTCCTGACCTCTAATTTCCTTTCCATACTTATTCCATCCAGTTGCCTTCAACAGTTAAGGGAGAGGACCACAGGGAAAGCACTGTCCAGTCTCACACACACAAATGAGAAGTCACAAAGAGGCTCAGGACTCTGGAATCACTTCATTCAAGCTCTCCTTTCTAACTTTTCTGTAACACTCTTGTACTGGCACAAACTCTTCTCTCTGAGTGCTGGGCTTTCTCCAAGGCAGTTTCTTCAATGATCTTTTCAGTTTCATTGTTTGTGAGTTTGCACTCTGTGTAAAGTACAAATTCAAAGAACTCAGGATTGTTGTCTGACCCCCACCTACTTTTTCTAGCTAATCTCCAGGGTTTTCAGGGTTCATATCTGTCTCACAGCCTGCCTCTTCATTTCACAGTATCAATATCCTACAGCGATCAACGGGAGGGCCTTTACCTTTTACCTTTACCTTAATATCCTACAGCGCAGCTACTGAATATGTGTAGCCCCTGCTTCATGGCTTAAAGGTTCTCTTCTCAGTCTTATTTGTTCTGGTACAATAGCTCAAATAAGATACCCTCTGCAGAACAAAATACAATAAGGATTTTTATCACCAAACTCAGTATTACTAAGGCTATCCTTTTTTTATTTCTGTGCTTATCTCTAATACTAGATTGTAAGTGACTTACTGTATGTCTCTGAACCCCAGACAATTCAGAAAGAAAAACTTATTTTCAAACCTTAAAAGCCTAAAAGAAATTATATGGTCATATAATTAGATATTCAGATTATCTATAAACAAGATATGCCTTTTTCACCCCTGAAGTAATGTTTCTCCATGTTGAGCAAAGTTTTGGTGAATAAAATATTTGCCGGATAAAAAAAGAATGTGAGAATAAGTCACTGTTAAATAAAGCTATTTTGAAGACTAAATCTTGATATACATATAAGTACATTAAAAACATTTTGCTATTTATTGTTACCATATTGCCCAAACAAGTGATATAATAAGTGCTTAAAAATAAATTATTGAGGTTGGAGAAATATTATAGCGGTAAGGCACTTGCCTTCCATTTAGCTAACTCTGGGTTTGATCCCCTGTATCACATTTGGTTCCCTGAGCACTGCTAAGTGACTCACTAAGCAGAAAGAAGGCATAAGCCCTGAACACCACCAGGGGTAGTCCAAAACAGAAAGAAAAATAAAAGGTATGCATCTGTGATTATTTTCAACTTTCCTTAAGCCCTCTGTCCTTTGCTGTTCCCCTTCTATTTTCAAATAAATTCTCAAGAATAAAATAAACAAGAGTTACACAGCTCTTCTTGGAGTTGGTCTAGAAGGCTTTTAATATTCCAGAAACAAATTTTCAAGCACAGTACACTGCCTAAGTTAGGGGGCCCGATACACTATTAGGATCTTGACAGAGTAAATTTTCCTTGACTGCAACCTTACCCAGATGACACAAATAGAAGCAAAACCCAGTTTACAGAGAGACTACCCAGAAGAGTGAAAACTGATTTGCAATCTATCAATGGCTCCTTGTGTTTTCAAAAACGTCACTGGCACATTTAAGGGAGGCCCCACAGCTCTGAAGTCTGGCCCAAATAATTTATAAACCACTAGTCACAGCAAACCTTTATAATATTCTGGAGACTTAAGAAGTATTAAATAGGCAGACTAAACAACAGTTGTAACTTCATTTGACAGAGTGCTCATACCAAGGACTATCAGCTAAACACTCTTGAAAGTTTTCCTTTCCTCAAAATGTGAAGTGACTTTTAAAAGTAGAGTCTTGGAAGAACATCTAAATCCACCTAAATGAAGTAGAACATGATATATTTCCCCCTTCCTCTATAACACACACACACACACACACACACACACACACACACACACACACAGAGTTTTCAAGAAGAAAAAGGTTGATCTCAGCATATTACTTTTAGAAAACGGGAATTGCAGGAGAGTACACCAGATTCCCTTAGTTGAGGAGATGAAACTGTGAGTTCAGTTGGGAAAACAAGATGGCTAGAGTTCATAATATAAAAACACCAGAAGGGCAAGAGAGATGATACAGCAGGTAGGGTGCTTGCCTTGCATGCAGCCAACTGGGTTTGATCCCTGGCAGCACATATGGTCCCTCAACCCTGCCAAAAGTGATCTCTGAACTCAGAGCCAGGAGTAAGCACTGCCAGGTATGGGTAAAAAAAATAATAAGAAGAAGAATAAAATTCATGTGATATGTATAATAAGTATCATAATAGTCCTCTAAGTTACAAAATCTGTGAATATATTACATTTTATCACAAAGGAAATTAAGGTATACAACCAGCTAACATTAATATATGCAGAGTACAGGACTGAGAAGATAGTACAAGAGGTAAGTCACTTTACCATATATACAACTGACCCTGGTTCGAATCCCCTACACTGTATAAGATCACCTGAGCACTGCTTGGGTCACTACTGAGCACAGAGCCAGGAATGGTCCCTGAGCACCCCTGGGTTAAGGTCTAAAGTTGTTTAGCAAAAGTCCTTTAAAAAAAAAAAAAGCCTAGCTTAAGTTCTCATTTCAAAGGCATGGTAGGCTGAGTTGATTCTTTCTAAGATAATTAGATGTTGTCAGTAGCTCTAGAGACCCACCATTGCTCCAATTATTACATATATTTCTTAGCTATTTATGTGATTCACTTCAATATTATATAATTTACTTCTTCCCTAAAATTGGGTACATGTCTCCTACTTGCCCCCTATGAGAACTAACTAATATAGATAAAGCAGAAATTTTCCCCTTAGGCAGTTCAGAAATATGCTATAAAAAGTGTCCCCTAATAATGCTAGATGGGTTTCTCTCTGGAGGCCTCCTCTGTGTAAATCTGACCAGGAGACTTTCTTTCAATAAGCTGACTTTTCTCTGCCTAAACTGTTTTGTTCTCCTAGTAAATTCTTTTTCTTTCATGTCTAGGATCCAGCAGAGCCTGGGGTCAAGCACCTCCTCCAAATCCTTCAGACCCCTCCCCTCAAACAGTGTCCTGTGAAGCCATGACATTTGCTTATAAGTGGATGGACATGGAGAATATCATGCTAAGAGAAATGAGTCCAAAAGGAGGGTCAGACATAGAATGACTGCATTCAGTTGTGGAATATAAAATGATATAAGAGACTAACACCCAAGGACAATAGAGATAAGGGCCAAGAAAGATTGTTCCACAGTTGGAAACCTGCCTTACATGCCAGGGGAGAAGGCAGCTGGGATAGAGAAGGGATCACTAAGTCAATGATGGTTGAAGGAATCGCTCACGATGGGAGATGTGTGCTGAAAGTAGACAAAGGACCAAACATGATGGCCTCTCAGTATCTGTATTGCAAATCATGATGCCCAAAATTGGAGAGTAAGAAGGAAATTGTCTGCCATAGAGGCAGGGGGTGGGGTAGTGTTAGGGTGGAGGGAGGGACGGGGGGACATTGGTGGTGGAAAATATACACTGGTGGTGGAGGGATGGTTGTCTGATCACCCATCATACAGTGTTGGAATTGTATCTCACAGTGATTCAATTAAAAAAAGTGTCCTGAATTATCAGGTCATCATATAAGCATCATCATAGTCCTCTAAGTTACAAAATCTGTGAATATATTACACTATATCACAAAGGGAATTAAGATATACAACCAGCTAACATTAATATATGCAGAGTACATGGTTGACAAGATGGTACAAGAGATAAGTCAAATTGCAATCATGAATTCTTAAAGTGGAAATAGTGTTAAGAAGATTTT